TCGCATTCAGAACGTCAGAACACATCTATGCGTGTCACTATAGTTTCTACGTAAAAAATATTTTTTTCAGATGTGAACTGCCATCAGCTGCTTAATCCTTCATGCAATTTATCAGTGAAACATTCGAAACTAAAATTCGGCTGCTCCATTTGAATTCGAATTGTCGAGCTTGTGCACGCAGTGAGAAGAATCTCGAGAGTCAAGTAGTGCAACGACTAACAAAAGTAATAAAAATTTAAACGGTTAATTTTCAGTAGAAAACGAATACCTGGATATGGGCGCCCATCGATGTAAATTCAGATTCGGTATCTCTCAGTACTGAAGAGGAATGAATCAGTGTTGAAGTGGTGTCTTCGGACAGCTTTAACTGTTCACTCATCTTTGAAACCAGCGATGCAAGACTTACGGTGGCCTAAAATTTCACACATTTCAAAATTCGTAATTTTTAGGAGAATTTTAATAAAATGTAATGCAAAAGCACTGGCTTCATGCATTTTTAAGATGTGCATTTTCGAGTTTTCTCACTTTTTGGAATTGACTCAATAGCTTAGGTTTATCAGTAGAAAGATCAGCCCTTGTACAGTGCTTTCCTATTCTGCAGTAAGTAGGGTCACTAGAAATAAGCTGATTCAGAGTATTTTCCAGCAAATTGCCAGAGCTGCTGCTTGTCGAGGGTTACTTCTAAAGCATAATGAAAGCGTTTCTGATTCTCTGATATGTGCAAATGCCACGCTTTCAACACAAAAAAGCATTGTACTAGGCCTGGTTTTTCTATTGATGGACTTAAGCTATTGAGTCAAATCTAAAAAGTGAGAAGTCCAACAAAAACTGGAAAGTGTACATCCTAAAAATACATAAAGCCAGTGCTTTTGCAGTACAATGTCTAACTACTACGTCACTGCTGCACGCAAACTCATTTTTAGTGCCCCTATTTAACAGAGAGTGGGAAAATTTATGAAATTACATTTTATGAAGGAAAATTTATGAAGTTCTAAAAAATTTGTTCCTGGTATCTCCACTCTACCAGTTATTGGACAGGGGTACTGCGTCACAGTAACGCAGTTGTTCTTTAACCTACTTTTAACAAAAACCCATCAATCATTATTTGATCTATTATACAACACTGGGAAAGAAAAATTAATCGTTTTACTACCTTCAACACGGCAAATAATTTACCTAAAAAATTATAAATGCCTCCAACGTTAAAAGCAGGTACTTTAAGGAGTTTAAATAACAAGATAAAGGGCAAATGTACGACATTTTTACGAATCTCCAGTATACTATGTACACAGAATAGAACATAAGAGCACCTAAGCGAAGATCCGTTACCTTAAAGCACAACGGTAAATCATCTTGTTTCCCATACAAATTGGTTCAGGAGCTTCTTATTAATCGGTATAACTAACCACAGGAAAAGATGTTCCTTGGAAAATTAACATTTTCCACTCACCTTCAGAGCTTCAGTTTCCATATTTTCGGCACGTTTTTTGCGGCTTCTAAATTCAATTTCCTGAGCATCATCACCTCCCTGTAGCAAATAACTGCGTGATTGCTCCTCTGCAACAAAATTTGCCCTTGAAAATACAAAAAATCGTAAAAAAAAAGCTTGTTTTCGTCACCAAATGAAAGCCTAGTAACATGCATTTCGTGGAACATCGATTAAAATTAGATGTTCATTAAAACATTATTTAAATTCAAAACTAATACTCTGCTATGTGGGTGCATCCCAGTAACATTACTAATATCAAATTCCTCCACGACGATTTTTCAATCCAGCCAGCATATTCCTCCTTCCACGCGTGTTCGGTAGCCTAAAGATGCGCAGGAGGGCTACTAATGAACAAGCTCAAAAACTACACAGACAAAAAAGGAGAATATATTCTCCCCCACCAAAAAAAAAAAAAAATAAACCTAGTAGCCCTGTTCGGAAGGATGGGACGGGGGACAAGCACTAGCAGGTTGGCCACGAGATTGTGTGGTTTCCAACAGACTGTCTACAGAGCAGTTATGTGAAAGTATGATACTAATAAATGGCAACTAATCAAAGTAGCACAGTAAAATCAAAAACATATTCAACATCATCAGTCTAATACCGTTCTCATAACAGGATATTAGCTAAAAAACCGGAAAAGCAGTACCCATAGTTTTGGTGATCTGTAGGATGGCTTGCCGAAGCATTTGGCGATTTCTTTCCAACTCATTCCTGTGCTCCTTCACCTGAGCCAGTAACTCAGTGCGATCGTTTCGAAAATTCACCTAGAAATAGGTTTTCTATAAAATCAATAGCACATTTGTTAATTTTGTTAATTTTTTAAAATTTTTTTTCTTCCTATATACAGCAAGAGAGGGGAAGAGGGAGAGAAAAAGAAGTAGGAAAATCTACAAATTACAAAAACATGGGCGAGAAGCTTAATTAAATCCAAAATTTCTTTATATTTCATTCTTCACAATTAGCAACAGAATTACCCTAAGAAACAGTAACTGCCAACAGCAAAAGATCGTTGCTAAGGTCCTCAACAACACTTTTTTTTCTCAGAATCTTTACAAGGAAGCTAGCGGTAATTTCTGTAACCCGGTATGTACCAATAAAAAAAAAAACTGAAATTTTCACGGCCAAAAAACTGGATCAAATTGGATTTGAGCATAAAATTGCCCTGTAAGATATCTCCAAATATCTGCTCAGAACTGAATTTGTGCCCCAATGTCATTTTTCAAAAATTGAGGGGGTTCAAGTAATGCGAATGCCCATATTGCATCTAGTTCTAAATCTAGAAGAATCTGAGGGAAAAGTGAGATAAAATTACTTGAAAAAAGAAGAAAAGAATAAAAATATCACAGGTGAAACATCTGGATAAAATGCCAGTACCTTATTAGCGAATTTCTCCAGTGCATCGACTAAATGCGCAAGTTTCGCCAATTCATCTTTGATTTCACGAGTACATTCGGATAGCTGTTTTGACGATGTGAATGTTTGCTGTCTGAAAATTCAACCAATAAGTTTTTATTTAACAAAAAACAAAAAAAAAACGCTTAATATAACACAGGACGTCCTACAAGAATGGCTTAAATGTCAGAAGCAATTTATGACAGATTCTCCGGCGAGAAGTACCGTTACGGTTTCCCTATAGTTTTTATAGGTTTCGTGATGAAAAATCGGCACAGGCGAACACAGACAACCCCTTGTCAATATGCGTTTTTTGCATTGCATAGATGCAAAAAACCCGTTTATGACTGTTGCACAACAAAGACGGTCGTTTAGGGTCGATTTCCTTATATAACGGATAAATACTGATAACGGATAAATACTGATAACGGACAAGTATTGACCTGATACTTTCAATATGATTTTTGACAGCAATATCTGCTTTTAGGATATCCTGCTGGCACATCTGCAGCTGCACCAAATTCAACTTCTGCATCCCTGTATGTTGTTGTTATCAGCTTCATAAAAGCCTGCAACACATCGTTTCGATTATCAGTACGGTGCTCTGGAAAAATATAAAGAATCATAAACATTTTCATAGAAAAAGGCCAAATCGACAAAAATTCGCATTATAGACCTTGGTCAGAGTATGAGTGAAATTTAAGGTATGGCGATGAAAAACTAATAGATAGCGTTCAGATGAGCTGAAGTACGCTGAGAGGAATAGTACGATTCAAAATTATACTTTGAAAAACGCTTT